CTGGAAATTATTTTCTAGGCCATTTAGATTATAGCATTAGCATACTAAATTTAAGCGAATTTGGCATGACGGCAGATCGATTAGATCATTTATTAACGCATGCACCGCTTCAAACTATCATCTTACTTGAGGATATTGACGCAGCAGTGCATAATCGTAACACATCAAATAATGATCTACTTCATAGCAAAGGTCGGTTTCGTTTAGTTTTTATCGTTTAATTAACATCATTTAGCTTATGAAGGTATGCCAACACTCACCTTAAGTGGATTGTTAAATGCACTAGATGGTGTAACCTCAACGGATGGTCGCATCATATTCATGACTACAAACTATATCGATCGGTGAGTATCTGAATTATTGTATGCAAACTTTTTTCCCACATTAACTCTCATTTCTTAGGTTCAGGTTTGTGTAATTTTCTTCAAACCATATTATCCAGTAATTCAAACCGAAGTAGACGGAGTGGCGTTTGAGCCTGCTTCTTAGTGGATAAAATTAAACTCCTCGGCCATAGTTGATACTTTGAACAACTATCAGTAAAGTTAGAGTAATTTCTCCTTAAATACAACTGGTTCATAGTGAAATTATGCATTTTAAATTCCATTTATTCGTAAATAAATTTTTTATATTGGTAATCATTAATGAACAAAACCAAACAAACTGACATTATAGTAGGTAGAACAGAGGTAATTCTCAATCGCTGAATCTAAATGCTTTTTTCTGTTATGCTTAGGTGTTATTTATAGTTTATCTATTTGTTTAACAACATGAAACTTAGCACAACATAGTACAGAATAATAAAATGGGTATGAAAGTATGGATAACATTGTAAGAAAAAGGGAGTGCATTCGAATAAAAAGGAGTGAGGGTAAATCATTAACATGCACATTACGCAAGAGGAGAGACAGTTACGCATAAAAACAAGTAAACCCAAAATAATTCCGGTAAAGAAGTTCCTTTCACATTTGTGAAGAATGTTAGGAAAATTAAAGCAGAATTGCATTTTCTGTCCTGAATCAAGTTCAATAACGTTTGAGTTGGGTCATCTCTAGGACCTCGAATGGAGCGGTGGTGGACCGACAGGTGCCACTTTTACATTGCTTTAACTCAAACGATGGTGCCAACCCATAAACCTCTCCGCTTTCCCTAATCAGTCCCAGCATCGGGAATCGATGCAAAATGTTAAAACTAACCGAAGCCAGTTTTTCAGGGCAGTGAAATCAATTGAGTTCTTGTCACAGTGTCCAGACACGCATTATCAAGCTTCAGCAAGACTAACATAGTGTTGCTGTTACCTGTTATGAAAATCCTTCCGAAACAACAATGACTGAACAAAGAATGTTACGACATCCTCAACTCGCAAATGCCAGGTTTCGAAGCATGGATTAAAACTGCTCTCATCTTCATAGCATCCCACATCGAAAATATTATTCTCCTGAAGTATGGCAATATGGTTTCGTTTTGATTGATGGTGGTCTTAGAACACGCCATACTGGAAGAATAAAATGAATGATTCTTGATCAATTGATCAGCTAAGACGTTTACTACGTATTCATTACAGAAATCATGGTAACTTGACTTGGTGGTGCTGTGTTCTCTTAGCTAAAATGGCTTAATTGTAAAGCTTTCAATGTCTTTCTGGATAGCATAATCATTTTTGAAAATATCTTAATGGTGTCTTTTAGAAAGAGAATGAAAGCTTCGCGGCTAAAATTTCCAGCTTTACGGATAGAACACCACCAAAACCTAATCAATATTTGGTTTTAGGTTGGATGGTTCTCGAATAACACTTCGAAAATACTGAAACTGAGCTACAAATATTCTCTATCTCAAAATATTAATCAATCCATGTTTCCTCCTTTTCTTTACATTTTTATCCTACTTTTGATGTAAAACAATACAATTTTAACTTACCTGCAGAGATGCATAAATGAGGAAAAAGGTAAAGTCATAAAAGGATGTGTTCAACATAGATTTTTCGGGTTGCATGTGTATCCAAAGGGTGTACATAAGTATAGTCGTTGAGGATTTTTACAAACACTGTCGCGAACAATATAGTCCAATATTGATTACTTCAAAAAGTCATATAACTAAACAAAGTCAGCGTTATATGGATTACTGTTTTGATTAGTCTGTCGCTTAATCAGGAAGCTTCACACAAATGAGCCTGGCACCAGCGATAAAAGTTTTTTACGATGAGTGTAATACACTCGTATCACTGGTCTTTATTTCGGTATTATTATTGCTGATGTAATAACTCAACTTGCAGCTGTGTAGAATACTTGGATGGGTTGTATTTAATTTGTTGATTCACTGTTTTTTTTTACTGACAGACTTGATCCTGCTCTAATACGACCCGGTCGCGTTGATATGCGCATACGAGTTGACGTTTGCGACTCGTCTCAACTAATGCGCATGTTTAGTCGCTTTTACCCACAATGGACGTCGTCTGACATTAATAATTTAGCTCAAAAGTTTGCAAGTCTATTAAAGGATACACCTTTGAGTTCAGCACAAGTTCAAGGTTATTTGCTGTTGCATAAAGATGACCCTTTAAAAGCAATTAGTAATGTAAATCAACTGTTGTCACCGTATGATTCATAAATTCTTAATCTTATACCCAATGATACCCTTAAAATGTAACATAATTTAGATTCTCAGGATGTTTTAGATTATTGTGGATTAATCCCATTCAAATTGTTTGTTGTTTATATTCTTGTGTACATAATCTATGTTTTTAATCAAATAAAGAAATTTGCATGAAAAGGCTAGTTAAACAGTCCGAATTTCTACTTGAAATGTGAATTATTATCCAAAAGTTTTCAGTAAATTAGTTATCTGAATATACGGATGATATCTATCTGGTATAAATTGTGATTGAGGATATATTAATTTAAAAAATTCCTCTAATTCTAACTCGATAGACCGGTGACTGACACGAAACGCTCCGGCAATAATTCCCAACGTAGTGGAAGACGGAGAAGTTAGTAGAAACAGGGTATTCAAGGGGACAAATTTCAAATGAAACGACTCAGTATAATAGCATCCAAACATGATTTTGGGGCAGCCAAATTAGGAAACTAAAAGTGAGGACAACTAAACAGATAACAGCGAATCTCGTTGTAGAAAACTGAAATAGAAAAAAATTAATTCGCAGTTATCGTTACATTTAAGAACCGACATTTGAAAAGAGCTAAAGTCTCCTCAATCATATCCAGTAGTTGGTTCACACGAATTAAACCGCATAATACTGTGAGTTTTATCCCAACTGTTTTTTCTACCTTAATGTGGTGGTCGGGCTTGTCTATTGTAATGAACGAACCGAGCTATGCTGGCTGGAACAATCGTTCCTCAAGGTCCTACCATGCCAGACAGGTTGGTTGAAGAACGGTAAGACTGAAAACAGCAAACCCAAGATCCAAAGGCGAAGTCGTACTGCTGACTGTATAGAAGTGTGACGGCAGTAAGGTGTTCCCTTCAGACAACCAACATAACTGCGATGCTGCCTTCCCACAAGGAAGTGTGGAGTTGGAAAAGGTCGACCCTAAAAATATATACCTCGCTTTATTCCACGGATTTCCGTCTCCGGCGGTAAGGTCTCAGCAAGTACGGAGCTAACACGAAAATTACTCACAAATGGTGTGTGACCGCCCTCAAGCAGTTGTCCCTTGGGCACCGCAGTCACGTACTCAGGTCACTAAGATCACCTCAATTTCCTCTTCAAGGACCTCCAGAAGAACCCTTCCACGGTGTTAGCAACCATGTAGTGATAACCGCCTTAATACCTCTAACAGCACTCAAGACCACTGTACGCATAATCAAACTCTCTCTTCACCTATTTTTCCTCCTACATCGACTTTCAACTTAGTCCTCAAGTGTCACCACAGCCAACGATTATAGTGCGCGAAAAACTTTCCCAGGTCTAACTTTGTCATGGACATGCTTTCAGATACAACACTTTCACCGTCTGACTTTTCAGGGATTGCTATTATACCAGGATATTCTCTTTTTGAATCAGTCCTGTTTAATGAAGACGCTGACAAAATGCAGTCTTCTGACCACCTTAAGCAACAATGCATAGATACGCTTCTCTCCCTCCTAATGCGAGATGTCACTTCAGGATTGGTTTGCTTCGGCACTCAAATTTACAATAGAAAGTTATAGGTTAAGTCAAAGTCTAAGGAACAATCGTGAACAGTGGTGGGCAACGACAGCAAAAGAGATGGGAAAGGTGGCGGCTGTAGGTAACACAAGACAGTTCTACAGACTAATAAAAGAAACTGGAATTAAAAAGTCAAGTGTAAGAGAGACTATCTCGGAAAAAGACGACACTTATCTACTCGCAGTACAGACGTTCAGAACTATGGGCGGAACACTTTAGAGAACAACCCAGCTGAACTTCAGCTCCTCAATATCTACCCACCATTCCCAGACAGTGTGAATGGAACATTGAAATAAGTCACCCAACTCCAGCTAAAGTTCGGAAAAGCAGCTGATCCAGATGGATTTGCTCCAGAGGTCTTGAAGGGTAGTGGTCCAATTTTAGCGATTAGTTTGACCAATATTTTAGCTAAAATCTGGGAGTTGGACGTAATACCTTCTGACTGGTCACAATCACTTATCGTCAAAATATATAAGAAATGGTTAGTTTGACTAAAATAGCACCAAAAATACTAGCCTCAACTATTGTCGGACGCCCAACAAAGACTCGTCAAATGCAAAAACGAGAAAATCAGACTGTTTGCATAGATCACATATTCACCATTCGTCAGGTTCTAGAACACAGGCAAGCTTATCGGCGTCCGACAATGATAGTTTTTCTTGGTTTGGAAGCAGCATTTGACTGTGTAGACCGAGAGGTTCTGTGGCAGTGCTTGTCATTGAAAGATGCACCTCAGAAATACATAAACCTAATAAAGGCTTTACTCGAACACTACTAATCGGGTGAGATCTTATGGCGAACTGTCATCTGTTTATAAAATTCAAAATCCAGGTAATGCAGTTGTAAACAAATATATACTAGTAAGTTTATTCTACCATACAAATTGTTTCTCTTTTGTTTTGAAAATAAAAATGATCAAGTTATGGGTTTTCGACTTTTTGGTGTTTATGAATTATAGGTCTCGAAATCCCAATCAACTGAAATTTTTTCATTTATTGTTACATAACACTGAATTATGTCTCCTACTTTCCATTGTGAAATGAAATTCTTTGCGGATAAATTTTGATTCTCGATGTGAACATCCTGAACTTCAGGAGAAACTAATACAATACCACAATCTACTCCTTTTCGAATACTTTCAACAATAGATTTTTCATGACGCAGTGAGTAACAGGTAGCTCGATCCACTATGGTATTTTTAGAATTAGAAAAGTCTTTTTGAGCGGTGGTGGGATTTTCTCCATGTTTATTGTTTGTTGATGTTGAATGGTGAGTTGGACGGACAATGCGGTAGCACAATTCAGTTGGTTCACCATCAACACCTAAAAATGATAAAAGACAAAATAAAAAGTGTACGAAAAACACTGAATGCCCTTATTATAGCCTAAGTTGATGCACCGGATAGTAGTATGTAAAACATCGAAATATTGAGCTTAATGTAATGTTACACAATACTGCACAAAATTGGCAAAGCTTAACATCTGATGCATAGTGAAAAAATTCTTTGAGGAACAATCTAGTATTTAGATAAGTGGTTTATTTACGTCTAAGGTATTTTAGTACTCTCGTAAAGATGAAAATGACCAACGATATTCAATGTATTTGCGAACTACAAAATAATTCCCAATAGAAAAACTAGGAGGCTAGGTCTTTAACAACCAAGCGGTTCAATGTTGCTTCATTGACCTTGGCTATTCATTTAACTGAAGAAGCAGCCAGCCATATTACGTAATAATTGACATACGTACGACAAACATTACAAGCCCAGTTATCGCTGATTAGAATGTAATTAGAAATCTAGATTAACACTACTACTCTATTGAATAGATTTTACATCGAGAAGTGTAAAGAACCTACCTACGAGAAATTATTTTGTTAAATTATACCAAGATTTTTTAAACTTGATACTTGAAATTTATTTAAACAAATGAAATCGGTCCATATTCACGAAAAAATGTTTTGATTGTGTTATACTACAAGTTATTAGAAACGATCATTAGAATTAGCCTTTTGAATTGTTGACCAGAATAGCTTAATGAATAGATAGCGTTTAACTAGTTGTAGGCATAATTTAATATGAATGCTTAATTATTTTTCCATTTCATAACTACACCTGCGTAAGTGCTTTATGCTTTATGTTTGCCCTGGTACGGTCGAGAGTGGAAAGAGTCAGTTATTCCTCTCGAAATGCTCTCATATGGCCACGTGCATACAACCACTGCCACGGAAGTCCTACTCACCGCCTTCTCGCTGAGGGGTGTTGTTTACGAAGTTGAGAGGACGAAAAGCGAGTGACCGGAGCTTTAATCGCGTTGGTGAACACGGAGAGTTCACCCAGAGAAGTCGGAAAACCCTGATTCCAAACCAATGGTGCACATGGCCTTCAGTATCCTGTAGGAACAAATGGTGTATTTGTAGCAAGCCCATTCCATTAATGTATTATTTGTCTACACAACTGTGTTAATTTCCATATGAGTATGATTGAGCGTGTGTCTGCACTTCAATCCCTATTCTATTCCTCATTAGTTGTGACACATAGATAATCAATAATTTATCTACACTTGATTGATACTCAAAAATATATATGGATCTTTTAACACAGACACACACACTTTGATTTTTGACTCACTCGGTGCTTGCTTGCTGTATGCTTGCGGACTTTACCAGGCTTTCACAATAAACTATCTCTATAACTGATTTTTGGGCTTTTTAATGATCTCGAGTAAAATCGATAATTCTACTAGGAGATTAAGCCTGTATTAAATACTCGGTTAATGAGATATCTTTATTTGGAGTCGAATATAGAGGAAATTTATCTCAACAAACTTGGTTAACCTCTACAAATTGGTTAGCCGAATTTAGAACACGCGCCTGTTCCTCTACAAAGTCTGCTGCTATTCTCCAATCATAAAGAACTTCATATTGGAATTACTATTGCAATTATTAACAATACATTGACAGTCAGTTAATTCATCTATAACATTGTTCCTTTGGAATTATTACTTTATATTTGCCTATTTAAACTCAAAGTGACCTTTGTTTTCGGTGAGTCTCATATATATTTCTTGTTGTTATTTTCGACTTATTCATATCATATATTTCAATCCTCAGCTTATTATTATTGCTATTGTTATTATTTCTTCGTATCATGTCACTTGATAATTCACCAAGCGTTTCATCTAAGTCTGTTTCCGTGGGTGCCATCTCTGTACCTTTACCTGCCTTTAATCCCCGAAAGGCCGAACTGTGGTTTGCACGCTTAGAAAGCTTTTTTGTTGCAAACAGAATCACAAATCAGAACACAAAATTTAGTTATGCAAACTCATTGCTGCCAGACGACGTTATAGAACAAGTGTCTGACGTCATTTTTAAACCGGATCCAGACTCACCATACGATTGTCTAAAAAGAGAGGTCATTCGTGTTACATCTCTCACCGACCAGCAAACAATTGATCAACTTTTAGCTAATGTAGAGCTAGGTGACAGTACACCATCTCAATTGAAACGCCACATGACAAATTTATTGGGGAATCGTACAGTAGATAAACGTCTATTCTATCAATTGTGGCTCAGACGTCTACCACAAAACATCCAACAGATACTAGCAATCGGAGACGAGGATATCGATTTTGATAGGCTAGCAGATATAGCCGATAGAATTTACGAGCGAACTAGGACGCACTCCGTATCTCACATACAATCAAACTCATCTGACGAGATCGCCGAGTTGCGACGAACAGTCGAAGTCCTCGCTAATCAGATAGCTCAGCTCCAATTTTTGAATACCTCCCACAGCAAGCGGAAAGGAAGGTCCAGAAGCCGTAAAAGTCGTAGTCCAAGCACCACTCGACATAACATTTGTTGGTACCATAAAACGTACGGTAAGCAAGCTAAAAAATGTACTTCTCCCTGTAATTTCGCAAGCACACAACAAAGAGACCATCATGAACGTCGGTTAATGACGACTGCAGTCGCTGAACACAACTCTCAAAGCAGTCGCTTGTTATATGTTACAGACAAAAGGACTGGAACACAGTTCTTAGTCGACACTGGGGCAGAGGTTAGTGTAGTACCACCCACTACACTTGAGAAAAACACACCTGACCCCAAACTAAAACTACAAGCCGCAAACAGATCTGAGATCAAGACGTACGGCAAAAGGCATTTACAATTAAATTTCGGTCCTAAATCCAATTTTTCATGGAACTTCATCATAGCTGACGTCCTCATTCCTATAATCGGCATTGATTTTTTACAATCCCATAAAATACTCGTAGATGTAAGAAATCGGAAACTTGTCCTTGCTGACCATAGCAGCGAAATTAGAGGGATTATTTCTAACGAGACATCCATACATTTATTGATCAAACCTCATCGTGAGAATGACAAGTACGTTAGTTTACTTAATCAGTTTCCAGACTTATTACGACCGAATTTCAAACGGGACAAACTGACACATACCGTCGTACATCATATAAAGACAGAGGGTCCACCAGTGTTCGCACGTCCAAGACGCCTTGACCCCTCTCGTTTGGCTCTAGCAAAGAACGAATTCAACAAAATGATAGAGTTGGGTATCATACGCCCCTCCGATAGTCCGTGGGCATCACCGCTCCATTTGGTACCCAAGAAAAACTCTTCCGAAGTTAGACCGTGCGGTGACTATAGAGCTCTCAACAGCCGTACTATACCAGACAGATATCCACTTCCACATTTGCATGACTTCACTCATAGTCTATCTGATGTGACGATTTTTTCAAAAGTTGATCTCGTCCGCGCTTACCATCACATTCCAATTCACCCGGACGACGTTCCCAAAACAGCCATTACTACCCCATTTGGATTATACGAATTTGTTCGCATTCCTTTCGGATTAAGGAATGCTGCACAAAGTTTCCAGCGTTTTATCGACCAAGTAGTACGTGGCTTACCTTTCGTATATGCTTACATAGATGACCTTCTTATCGCAAGCAAAAATGAAAATGAACATCTAATTCATCTGAAAATGCTTTTTGAGAAGCTAAACGAGTATGGGTTAACAGTCAACCCTGACAAATGTGAGTTCGGAAAACAATCCCTCACCTTTTTAGGTCACGTAATTGATAGTCAAGGCATCAAACCAGTTCCTGAGGAAACAAAAGCCATCAAAAATTATCCTTTACCTGATTCATTCAAGAAACTACGACGTTTCCTTGGGATGATCAACTTTTACAGACGTTTTATTCCGAAATGTGCAGACATAGCAAAACCGCTAACTGATTTATTAAGGGGACGAGCTAAATCATTGACAATGACACCGCAAGCAATTCAAGCATTTGAACAGTTAAAAAGCACATTAAGCACTGAGGCATTACTAGTACGTCGAAAGGTTGATGCACCTTTAGCAGTAATGACCGATGCCTCTAATGTAGCAGTAGGCGCTGTGCTTCAACAACATGTCGATCAACAATGGCAACCCCTTGCATTTTTCTCAAAAAAGCTAAACGCAACGCAAACAAAATATAGCACATTCGGTAGAGAACTGTTAGCTGTCTACCTAGCCATCAAACACTTTCGGTATATGTTAGAAGGCAATTCTTTTACGATATATACGGATCATAAACCTCTAACTAAGTCCTTGATGCACAATCATGATAAATACAGTCCGCGCGAAATTCGTCAACTAGAATTGATTTCGCAATTTGCAGCTGATATACGATACATAAAAGGCAATGCAAATGAGGCAGCAGATGCACTATCGAGATTAAGTATCAATACCTTCTCGATCCCTGATATAAACTATCAAGACATAGCAAATATTCAAAGGCTCACTGCTGTTAGCATCAACAGAGTAAAACCACCGTTTTTAAAGTATACTGAAAAAAACACAACCATAAAACGGTCTAAACCTGCATCAGAGCAAGCACCATACAGACTAACCGCAACAAACATTACTTCACTCCGAAGTACGCCAACAACAGAAACCACAACAAGATCAGGAAGAAGAGTACACTGGCCAGATAGGTATGTAGCAACCACCATATTTATCTAGACCAAGTCCTGAGATTGCTCTTATACCACAAAAATCCTTCTTTATTTCCATTACTATATTTTATTGGCCCCACGGATCTTCATTATGCTTACATTTTAACTTTATGAAATTCGTTGATGTGAAATATACATTTATACATACATGATACAAAGCGTTTCAACACACAAGCTGTTATGACAACTTAACGCTTACTCATCATCATATCAAATTGTACATTTATTTTAAAGACAATTTGCTTTTCTATCTCTTTGTCGAACATAGATGTTAATAAAAATTTTTTTTGTAAATAAAAACATCAATGTTCTGGATGGGAGCTTATGTAGCAAGCCCATTCCATTAATGTATTATTTGTCTACACAACTGTGTTAATTTCCATATGAGTATGATTGAGCGTGTGTCTGCACTTCAATCCCTATTCTATTCCTCATTAGTTGTGACACATAGATAATCAATAATTTATCTACACTTGATTGATACTCAAAAATATATATGGATCTTTTAACACAGACACACACACTTTGATTTTTGACTCACTCGGTGCTTGCTTGCTGTATGCTTGCGGACTTTACCAGGCTTTCACAATAAACTATCTCTATAACTGATTTTTGGGCTTTTTAATGATCTCGAGTAAAATCGATAATTCTACTAGGAGATTAAGCCTGTATTAAATACTCGGTTAATGAGATATCTTTATTTGGAGTCGAATATAGAGGAAATTTATCTCAACAAACTTGGTTAACCTCTACATATTAACCAATCGTCGGTCATCGGCTACCATGGGACTGCATCCTGACGTTGCTCCACTGCCTTGTGAGTCAGATCATTAGTTGTGACCCTCTAAGAAAACCACCTGCTTCGGTTTGGGTACCCGGGCAGTATCCCAGCTCTCACACAAATCGAATGATTTATGTGACGCATATGTATTTGGTGCCTCCTTGTACAAATATTTATGTGTTTAAATAAATAAACTTTTGTATTTAGAAAACCTTTATAAAGCAAAATTAACTTTCACATCACATAGAGTACGTTCTGAATATCTAGCACTTTTCTGTCATTGATATACAAGAGAATTCACTTGAAATCGAATTCCAGCTCTCCTATTGATATACTTGAGTAGATTAATAACAAACTGTTTTGTTGAACAGTGCTTCTATTCTAATCTTATTCTATAACATTGCATTTACACTAAGGGAAAACTGTTATTAGGCTCGTATTCGTGTAGGATTTGGGAATGAAAGCTGCAAAGGGCTAGCTTATGTTGGTCCTTCACGACTCCCTGGTTGGGGTCCGAGAGATGGTGTAACGCAGTGGCTAGAGACGTTATCAGATATGGCTCAGAATAGAAGCCAGTGGCGATCCTGCTGTAACCTTCTTTTACTTTCTTCATAAAAAGGTGGTCGTATTCTTCCTTAACTGAAAGATCTGTTCTGATTGTACCTTTCCGTTTCCCCCACCATTGTTCTCTCTCTCTCTCTCTCTTCTTTTTTTTTTATATAATTCCCCACGTTCATTACTTTTTTTTTTCTTCTCTTTTCTCCTTCTCTTCTAATTATCACTGTTTTGTGTGGCGCATATATATTTGGTGCCCCCCTGTACCAATATTTATGTGTTCAAATAAATAAATAAATAAAGGATTTGGGAATATCTCAGTGGTAAGTAGTATGAAATCACCAAGTTAATTTAATTTCAGCAACTGAAATATCACATTAAAGCCGTCGTTTTGAAAGGTCGATAATAACACCAATACGATCTTTATAACAATCAAATTGTTAGTAAACACCGGTCAATGTTGGAGGTGAAGTATTTTGAGTCCCTTAATTCCACAACGTAGTGTCGAACAATTTCGAAAATACATACAGATATTCACGGAATACATTATGTGGAACGATAAGTTTAGGGTTTACCAATCCAAGACGAGTACCATAGGTACTCGTAACATAAAAACTGACAGGAAATAAACGAGAAATACATTAAACGTATATAATCTCACCTAGATCTGTTAGAATAGAGCCTATTTTAGTAATATTAGCGATAATATTTCCTTTAATGCATCTACATCCAGCAACTGGTAAAAGTCCAGTCTTTACGATGCTTTTAGATGTTTTAATCGTAAACAGCTGGAGAATTTCTGCTTCACCTGAAACAAATGAAAAATTGTTAAGCAAGCTGGTATACATGAATTTAAAAAAAATTATAATAGGAAAACTTATAGATGAGTTCGTTTCCACTTTACATTGTTAATAACGGAACTGCCAATCTGTTAGTGGTGATATTAAATAAACCTTAAAGATGGTAGCATGAGTTCGAAAATACAAAATTGAATTCTTGTAGACTTTTTATTGAGTATAAAGTAGACGTTGTAGCGAAAATAGTCAGCTAAAAGAAGGAGAAAACTGATTATGAACCGTGGGAAAACCAACAAACTACGTAATAATATGTTCATTCAAGTTTTTGTTCTTTGTAGCCACAGGTTTTTGATAAATTAGGTCTCTTTATTCATTGCCTTACAAGAAACAGAAATCTATGGAGCCGTTGAATGTCGTCACTAAAGGATGAGTTTACTGAACTTTCTATACGAATGATAGTTGTTTACTTTGACTCAGAGCGTAACGTGTTTTCATACATCTATGGATGACGTTACAGAAGTGACTGATCATTTGGTAGATGTACTCAAAGAATCATCTCCGATCAATCTAGACATTCAAGTTGGTGTAGATTAAGCATCCTAAAATAAATTGCATTATTCTATAATAGGTGTCTCATTAATGTTACACAGTGAATCATTATTGAACTAAACCAAATATTCCCGCGGAATATTAGTGTGGGATCTATAATTGTGGTCGAAAAATGAGCATACACTATCATGGGATATGTTAATAAAATATCAGCACATAGATGATAATATCAGTTCTACGATGACCAGAGAAAATGCATAGTAATTAATAAAATCTATTTACGAGTAGACCTAGAATATATATTGATGTATATTAAGAAACCATTTATTAGTGAACAGTCCTGGTAGTTTGACTCTACTGAGAGAGGAATTATTATATCTGATTAGTATTTCCATGTTGCAGTATATCTGCATCCAATACCTAAGCGGTTTTGTATATATTAGGATTTAGCAAAACATACAGGAATACAGTAGTGTCCTTGATGTATAATTTTCAGATAAACCAACCTACATTTATTCAAATTCGGGAAAAATAATTTCAGCAAATTTAGAAACTAACCAATTATCTTCTCGACTAATAGTGGTGGGAGCTTTTCATTCACTAGTTCCCTAACTTCTTCAGCCAATCGATAAATAATATTGAATTCTTTAATTTTAACACAATTCTGTTCAGCTGTAATTGTTGCTTCTGGAAGAGCATGAATGTTGAATAGTAGTACATTTGCTAAAATTGAAAAATTCATGCACTATTAAGTTTAAATTCTAACTGTAGGCATCTGAATTATACCTTCAAACTCAATGACGCTAGTTTGTGCAAGCTAGTAGAATAACTGACGATGAGGTTGTTGGTTTACATGGTTATGATGGTTTTACTAGTTGAAAATCCATACGGGTAGATATTTTCTAAGTAGTTTGTACATGACAAGCTGGAAATTGATTTCGCGTCACAATCCTTGTGACTAAGAATGTCGCGCTCATTTTTATAAGCAATTTTTATCCCATCGAGTGTAATCCAATAGTCTTATGTATAATGTATAGAAAACAAGAATAAAGCAACAGATGAATTAAACAATATAAATTGACTTGAACATTATATCCTATAGTTTAACAGATCATATGACGATATCTATCCAACAGAAACATTTCAAAATATCTGAAGTTTGTCCGAGTTTCTATTCGACGTAAAGATGGAAAGATTTTATACAACAGAAGAATTGGTACTCTCTGTGACAACAACACAGGACAATCCAAATACTGTACAAATAATGTAACTACAAATATTCACATTTTTAATTAATTAATTTATTTGAGCACATGAATATTGGTACAAGGGGCACCAAATATATATACGCCACACAAACAATGAAGAATTTAAAGAGAAGGGAAGAAAAAAGAACAATGACGAACAGATTAGTGTAAGGTAGTGTAATAGTAGTAATAATGGGGGAAAAGAAAAGGTACAACCAGGAGAAATCTTTCAGTTAAGCAAGAAGCAACCACTCTTTACGAAGAAAGTAAAAGAAGGTTACAGCAGGATCGCCACTGGCTTCTATTCTGAGCCATATCTGATAATGTCTCTAGCCACTGTGTTACGCCATCACTCGGACCCCAACCAGGGAGTCGTGAAGGACCAACACAAGTCAGTCCTTTGCAGCCTTCTTTCATATCACGACACCATGTCATATACTGACCACCTCTCCGCTTTTTCCAACCAGTCCCAGTGTCGGCAAATAATGCATGATGTGGAATTATTCGGGACGACATTCGTAGAACATATCCAAGCCACCGAAGTCGATGTTTCAAGATGGTGACACCAATTGCATTATCGTCTCTGTGTCCGAACACACGATGCCGAACCTCTGCATTACTAACATGGTGTTGCCACCGGATGTTAGCAATCCTACGGAGACAACAATGATCAAACACAGAGAGTCGTCTAACATCCTCGACTCGGAGAGGCCAGGTTTCACAAGCATAGAGCAAAACTGCTCTCACCAACGCGTTGTAGATTCGACCTTTTACAGCCAGACTGACATCACGAAGGCGCCAAAGATGACCCAGACTGGCATAAGCCGCTCTGGCTTTCACTATACGTGCATCGATCTCATTGCTCACGCCACCACCAGCACTTATGCAGCTACCCAGATACACCAACTTCTCGACTACTTCTATCTGCTCACCATCCAGAGTGAGTACAGGATTAGAATCTTGCCAGTCTTGTAGAAGTACTTTGCACTTCGAAGGTGCAAAGCACATACCATGCCTACGGACACTGATTGCCAACTGATTAAGTGCGGATTGCATAGCTTGGGCATTATCGCACAGTAAAACAATATCATCCGCATACTCAAGGTCGAGAAGTCTTTCTCCAGGCAACAGATCTACACCACCATTACTTACATCCATCAGAGCTGTTTCCAGAATGTCATCGATGGCAAAGTTGAAGAGGAATGGTGAGATTGAGCAACCATGCCTAACTCCACTGCTCGAATGGAATAATGGAGAAAGGTGGTTGTATGCCCTCACTCTGCCTGAGGTGTTTGTGTATAGAGCTTTTAGGATGTTAATAAACTTCTCAGGCACACCCTTCTTCAATAGACAATCCTAGAGAACAGTCCTGTCCAACGAATCGAAGGCAGCCCTGATGTCAAGAAACACTACGATTGTTGGCCTTTGATAAGTATGGCGGTGTTCTAACATTTGACGGAGGGTGAACATATGATCAATACATCTTCGACCGGAACGAAACCCAGCCTGCTCCTCGCGAGTCTATCTTTCCCAGGTTTTGAACAACCTACGAAGTATAACGGAAGCCAACAGCTTGGACGCAATCGGAATTAGACTTATCCACCGATAGTTGTTACAGGAACGACGTGAACCCTTTTTAAAGATAGGGACAACTATCGATTCATTCCATGACGTTGGTACACTCTCTAGTTCCCAGACCTTTGCAAACAACGTCGTCAGTCCATTAGTCAGAAAGTCACCACCATCTTTAAAAAGAGCCGGAGGTAAGTCATCTGGCCCAGTGACTTGTAACGTTTCAAGAGTTGGAGTTCCTTGCGGACTTCCGCCTCATTTGGTGGATCAGTCGTCACCGGCCATAGAGGGCAGGACAGTCTGACCGATGTTGACGGAGCAGCAGGCCAGTTGAACTGCCCTTCAAAAAGTTCTGCCCATCGTCCAAGACGTCGATGGGTGTTAGTGATTGGCGTTCCGTCATCCTCGCAGATTGTTTCGCTCACACCAGACTTCTTGCTGCCAGTGGCTCGGATGAGTTGGAAGAGCTTCCGGTAATTACCAGATGCAGCTGCTGCTTCCAGCTCACTAGCACGCTCCGACCACCAGGCTTCTCGGTCCTTACGCAAGCTTTGCCCGATTTCGTTACGTAACATCCTTCGTTTGTGGTCAAACTCACGGTCACCCGGAGTACACCGACGGGCTTCAATCAGTTGTAAGGAACCAAAAGAAACCCAGTGCTTATAAGCGGGACGTTTCGCGAATCCACAACAGACTGTACCCGCCATTTTCATGGCGTCATGCAATTGAAACCAATGCTCATCTACACTTTTCGGTGGAATGGTAGCTAGCCTAGAACCTAGCTCCATTAGATACTTACTAGCAACAGAAGTTTCAACCAGCTTGCTAACATCAATCCTTTGGTGGCGGTCACTTCGTTGGCCACTGAAAAGTAAGGTAAGATTGGCGCAGACTAGGGCATGATCAGAGTCCAGATATGTACTCCAAAAGGAGCGGCTGTCTTGTACACGACCACGCCAGCGGTAGCTGACCGCGATGTGATCAATCTGAGTCTAGACTTGAGATGCAGAGGGAGGACGCCAGGTGGCACATCGGCGATGACTGCGCCGAAAGTTAGTGCTAGCCAGAAACAGGTTGTGGTCTGTGCATAGTCGCAGTAGCACAAAAAGGAAGACATACATCTAGTCAATAGGATTTGGTCACATCCATGTGGGAGATACTATCTCCCAAGAAAATTGAGCTACCAATCAAACCTTGTGACGGTTGGTCATGTGAATTTAACACAGGAACTACTGTTTTTACCTATTAATGAATATTCTTAATAGACTTTTTACTTCTGAGTAGCGATTTCATGAGTTTAAAAATAGCGGAAATCATATTAAAGGGGATTCAAGTTTCATTTATTAGCTTTTGCTTGTAAACATATGTGATATGAATGACAACACTGTTCCGCAAATCTTCCTTACAAAGTTGTCAATAAACTCGAATGTGATCTTTATGTGGATAGTGGCTTCAATAAAATATTTAGGTAGACAAGTGAACACTAACAATTATCTAATGAGCTAGATTTTCAGAAGCACTGCCCAACTTTATAAACGCATCGAGCAACTTTCATTTTTTATAATGATTACTTAAGACAGTAACTCCGAAGCGTTCACTGTTCCCGAGATCATACGGATATAGAAGTTTAGCATAATTACTATATAAATACATACAACTGATAGATAATGACATCAATTATATGGTGAAAGTGGTATGTTATGATTAGGATCATTCATATTTTTCAAAAATATAAATTCTGAATACACGATAAACTGGTCATTTTGAATCAACCTTTCAAAAACACAAATCAACAACATGTCAATGATGAAAAGATCAAAACAATCTAATAAAATAAAACCAACCTTTAACTGCAGCGGCAGCGTCTACTTCAGATTCAGTCAACGGACCAACACCGGTAATGCAGTATTCTATTTTACATTGATCTGATGAATAGGTAGAAAGGAGTGTTTTTATGGCCTCTAAACTACCCTGTACATCACATTTGATTACAAGTGGTAAGGAAATTCTATTAGAATTTTCCTTCCATAAACTAGATTCAGCTGAATCACGTTCTACCTAAATAAAATTTTAAAAAATCAAATACTGTAAAGTACACTGATGATTGGGGTGAAAGTTGAGCGGATTTCTTAGACTACGTTCCCTTATTAATTCGTATTCTATTACGTATTTCAAGAATAATCAACTTACTAAGTGGTCAAGTATAGATTCATGAAGTCAGCTCTAAGGGATAATTTGGATATGATAGACTGGTTATTTTACACAGACATCCAAGCCGAAGAAGCGACCAGACCAATCGTCGAAATTAAAGTACTTTAACAAATAAACCACCGGACTACAAGATATAAGACTAATAGGAAGACTTTCAACATATAGGAATGAGGTTTATTAGTTTTATAAAGTCTGAACTGCCAATATGTGATCAAATTGTTCGAAATGCATTGCAGTAATATATCAAATAACTCTGATAATCTTTGCATTATTCAAATATTTCTTAAGAATTACTTAATTTATTAAAACTGGTGCTTCAGTTTGTGAGAGTAGAAATATAATAAGAATACAGTTGCATTTATATTCTGATACTCGAATATGATTTCCGAAATTGTAATACAATCTAAATGTAGAGTAATGTGGGTTTAGAAATTGTTTTGACAAGCCTAAATGTACAATATATTTCGATAACTTGATACTGATGAATTTTTAACGCATTTTTGTTTGTTAATAATTCATTTTAATATGTACATTGAGTATCCTATGAAGTATTAAGACAACTTGACATTAATGAAAAAACAATCATATTCATCAGTCATACCAAAAGCGTTGAACCATAAATAACTTGGTTGTATATTCTGAATATAGTTTAGAATAAACAATTAGTTCATTGGTAAGAAAACGATTGTTGCATTTTCAGAACGGATAGTTTAATAAATTGTGTTTCCAAACATAATTTCCTGAAATTAATACAATGATTGATTCGTCATTTTTATACGATAAATAATAGGTTTTTTAACACTAGGAATTGGTGTCTTTTCATAAATACCAATCAAGATCACCATGAAAAGCCGGGATTGTGCTAATTGTTTAAGGTAGGAAACGATTATTCAAACAAATTTCAGCTCCAAGTGATTAATTAGGATGCTATTACCCAATAAATCATACAAAGAAATTGATGATTGGCTCGAATAATGTATCATAACAATACAATATTAAGCATAATAATTAACATCCAAATAACTTGAATAATTGTCCAGTTTATAGTTTTTGTGTGTACATATTGGGAAAAATACCTAATTCGTATTTGCGGTGTAAAGCATTCCGATTGAAATATACTGTTCTGAATGATAATACTTAGAGAAACCGAAACATTTCGAAAGAACGAAGAGATTTTAGTTATATTAATATTCCCATTTGTGGTAAGTTAGAATTGATAGACTGTACACGAATATGCGATAGACATACTTTAAGTTTTCGCCAATGACGAAAATGAAGGCTCGAGCGTTTTTCTGCGTATTTCTCGCGATGGTCTCGATGATGAGACGCTCGAAGATCATATGCATCACGGTCTTCTTTAACTTTGTCCTGTACTTTTATACACCGCCGATATCGTTGAACCTCATTGGCTCGCTTCTAAAGTGATTCGTGAAAACGAAAAAGACAACAAAACTGACAGTCTAATTATTCAACTAAAAATTTCAGACAATGTATATGAAATGTATTACAAGTTATTCATATAAAAACATGAAAAGTATATTATAGGGATTTATATAGACTAGTGTCAAATCAATGAGATACACATATCGGACAAAAAGTCAATACGTTCGATGATTGTGAGGAATTACTAAATCCCGAATAAAGAATCGCATTAAAGTGGAATGTATTCAAAAAACCAATAATTCATGGGCGCGTTATCGTAATAATTATTACATTTTGCATGCTTTAATCGCCGAAAATCGGGAAATAATGATGTTTATAGTATATACATCAAATTCAAATGGATTATATGCTATGTACCTTTTATGGTACTAAATAATGGCATGAATATTATTTCAAAACATTTTACACTGAACGACATGTAAAGTTCTATTTTTGATGCATATTCAATAAACTGCGGATGTTATATTGTATATTATGTATTATGTCAATAGGTCACGTACTTTGCATATAGCAGAAAAATAAGTAGGATGAAGATATATCCATGTAATCAACCGTTTAGCTGTACTTCAGTGAGGGGATCCCGACAAGTCGGTCTCTTAAACAAACATTAGTCATGAATATGGCATCAATTAATTAGTTTCCGTTCAGTTTGCAATGAAAATCATCTTCAAATTGAATGAATCTCCATAATCCTATCCAATCGAAATAAATAATGACCTACAAGTCATATAAAAAAACAAGAAGTACAAGACTTACCGTAGATTCTACCTCTAGGATAAGATCTCCTGCAGAGGGGAGATCCTTCCAACCCGCTACTCGCGCTACAAATCCGGGGTTAACTGAATCCACAAGTTTTCCTGCATCGGTTAGCAAGATTCGTGGGGTACAGATTGCTTCACCAGCTATAAGTGGACCACTATTGGGTGATTTACGCAAAACACCTCGAGTTATAAGACAGGTAGCCGTTTTTCTATAAGAGAAGAGTATTAGGTATTTATTGTTTAGGAAGAACCCAATAATAGTTAAGCGAAAATCAAATAAATCAAAGAACTTCGTTCCTTCAGATTGTGACTGAAATCAGAAGAAAACAACACGTCACGTTACAGGAAATTGGAAAAATGTTAGTCTATGATTGAAAACACCTATGCGTCTAACAAAAATACATAAGATAAAATGGTTTTGTGCTGATTTTCACGTAGTTTGAAGATGATTTTCACCTCGAACTGATCAAGTTTAAAGTATCAATGAAAATTAGGGAGCATCGAACCGCTATTTCCTTTCAGTTTAAGATGATTCAACAGTGGACGGACACAAGTCTACACAAAAGCGATCCCATAAACATCAAGTTTTATGACAGTTCATAAAGCACAAACTAATATCTACACTAGTCATATCATTTGTGCTCAGCACGCTTCCAAATACAAGTATGTAATACGTATTACAGTCCCTGTAATAGGTAAGCCTATGACATTTGCTTTTGAACTCAATTAAGAGGCATTGTTATAAGTGTTGAATATGGACAAGCATCAAATCGGGGAAATGATTCTAAGAGAAAATAGCATGTCTTGAATAATTTTTTTTAAAAAATTGCGATACATTAGACAATAATCGATCTTAAACACATAAACACGTGTGCAAATACGAAAATTAATTTACTGACTGAGAATTACCCAATCCCATGAAGTATTTCCGATTCTAAAACAATACCTTCAGCCAATCCGGTATGATCTGCTTTCAATTGCATTATTTCAGCTTGCAGAATAATAGCATCTAATAATTCAGAAAGATTTATTCGTTTTAATGCTGATATTGGAACTGCTTGTATATCTCCGCCTAATTGCTCAGTTAAAACTTCATAAGTAGCTAGACCTTGGACTACTTTATCCTAATATATATAAAAAAATTCGAAATTAGTATCTTTTGGCTGGTACATCATTCGACAGTTATATAAACGTTAGCATGAAGTCTAATTACGCATTTTACAGTTAAACTTTTATTAAGATTTATCAACAAAAAAAAAACACATACAACAAGCTAAAGAAACTCTAGTTAGAGGTCTATCGAAGAAGACATTCGACCTAAATACACGAAAAATGAAGACAAGGGAATCTGCGAATATCACCAAACGAACTAGATTATTGGTTGAGGAATAACAAGAAGCTTACTTCTACACGAATTAGTCTCTGATGATGTCCAAAGCAACAATAAAAGGTCGATAATAAATTATCTAGCGCAGAGAAGTGAACAACATTAAGCATCCATGTGAACTACAAACTGAATTCATCACGTTTGATTTAAAACTACACAATATCCACGTTAACACTAGTGACGTGAATGCATATCGTTTAATCGTGCAGATTGTCATGAAATTATTACTGTAATCTTATTTAAAGCGAAAAGAAGCATAACACAATATCTAATCTAATATCTGCATCTAAACGCCAAAACAGTTGTTTAACATACATATGGAACCTAGCACAACACCGGTAAAACAAACAAATAAATAGATTCTTCCGATACAGACATACTTCAATCTACTATACCAAAAGAAACGACTTGAATCTTGGGGACACTTCTGAGTGTAGTTTTGTCACATTCGTTAAACAAGGATGTGGTTCCTGATAGTTGGAAGCCAGAATACATAGCATTGATTTTCACGTGACCGAACCTTCAATCCAACTGCCGATAGCATTTCTGCCAGTACTCTCTGAGGTTAAGGTATCTTTGATGTACGACGGCTTATACAACTGCCTGCTATCTTAAAACTTATTTTCATCTCGAAGAGAGTTTCAGGTGAACCTGCAGCTGCATCACCAACCTGCTAACGGCGGCGAGTAGATTATTTGGTCCTGCCTAGTCTAGACAATGAAGGAATGCAGACTTATGATCACCTTAAAGAGCAATGCAAGCACGTGTATAGTGTGTTTCTGTCCGTCTAGGTGCCAAATACTGCCTCAAGACGGGTATGCTTCAAGGCTTGAACTAAGGGTGTGGAATGGACTAGTTAAGCGCGTCAGTTACTTCACTTAGCTTGGAAGTCTTATCAACCCTGGTGAGTTGGCGTCTGACAAAGTCTCATCACGTGTTCAAGTAGCCTGGTTGGTGTTTACCAGTGGACACCATTTTGGCATAGGTGCATTTACTGGACAACAATTCGCTCCGTTCTTTATGGGCGTGAAACATGACCTCTAAAAATCAAGGATATTTGCAGGTCACTAGTGTTTGATAGTAGGTATCTTCGGGGCATTTCTAGTGTACTCTGGGACCACTGAGTTGTTAGCCTTCACGTTATATGCAGAGTACTAGGTAAGTATGAGAAACTAGTTGACGAGGTGATATTTGTTTATTTATTTATTATATTTATTTTAACACATAAGTATAGGTACAGGGAGGCACCAAATACATATGCGCCACACAAATCTCAATTGATTTGTGTGAGGGCTGTGATACTGCCCGGGTGCCCAAACCGAAGCAGGTGGTTTTCTTAGGGGGCCACACCCCGAGCCTTTGACCTGAACGTCTGATCCACAAGGCAGTGGAGCATCGTAAGGAGATGCAGTCCCATGGTAGCCGGTGACCAACGATTGGTTCATACGCCATTTGTCCCCGCAGGATACTGGAGCCCATGTGCACCATTGGTTTTGGATCCGGTTAAAGCGCCAGACATTCGCTTTTCGTCCTCTCATTTTTGTAAACAATACCCCCGCCACGAGAAGGCAGTGAGTAGGACTTCCCTGGCAGAGGTTATATAAGCATGGCCATGTGAGAGCATTTCGAGAGGGAGAGCGGACTCTCCCCACTCTCGGCCGTACCAGGGCATTTGGGGGCTGACGAGGTGATAAGTCTTTGTTGACAGAATATTGGCACACTTATTACGTCTGCCCATCCACCAACCATCTCAATACTCAATGAGACCCGATGTAGGTGTATTGAGATAGATCCAGATGCGATCAAACTAAATCATTGCACCAATCCATGACTTTTGGACTGAGCTTTGTAGGTAGGCGCAGGTGCAAACTACCTGGTTGGGGTCTGTATAATTATCATAAACAATTGTTAGAGAATTTGAATGACATGACTCAGAATCTTTGGCAATGGTGTAGATGTACTCACTATTTCTCCTCACTTAGATTCAAATTTCTAAATTTCCCACAAACTTTATTATTTCACCAATATATGTTTTCTTGTTGAATTGTATCTTGGATGTTTAATCTATTCTATTACCACTAATCCTGTTACTCCCTCTACTAAACTAGAATTCACCCTAATAATTTCATCTTGCTATGCTAATAGGTTATGGCAACTTGAAGTGATGTGTATATGTGTCAGGTTCTAAGTTGTGCTTGAATAGACTGACCAGCGTTCTATCACAAAAAAAAAACTAAAAAGACGAATAACCGAAAACATGAAAACTTAAGTAATGATTTTACAATATTTACACAGTCGAAGAGTCGGAGTTTTAGCTTGATAAATCAACCACATCTGAGTACAAGAAAGATGTGCAACAAAAATCGAAAGTGCAGTCTACCTTCTTGAAGAAGCTTTCTTGAAATAAAAACTGACTGACTGAAAGCAGAACACCAGAAAGTCTATGTGTCCATAGGTTTTCCGTTCAGCGTTTTCTGGAAAGGTTCTTTTGTTGGGATGGATTTGAAACGCAAGACGAAGCGTCCGGAGACTCTAAAGGATTCGAAGAGATTTCGTACAATCGGAACATGTAGAGCCTTCTAGATGACTAACGTGACATGCTACGATTAGACAGTCACATAAATTGCTTCCTTGGGGATTGGCAGAAACATGATGATGTTATAGCCAATATCAATAAGTATAAACACTCATGTTTTTCATACATTTTTGATTTTTATGCAATATCCATTTTTGCTGCTTCCTCCGTCTTTTGATTTGTGACTATAGGGGTTTTACACGTTCGACTTCCGATAGTTGTATACTGTATTCTGCGTAATCAAGTAGCTGACTTAACACTGGCGACGAGGTGTACCAATTACAATGCCAGTAACTCTTAAACAAGTAGAGTCTTTGCTTGAACGTCAGGAAAAACGGTATGAACAGCTCCAAGTTCGCACCCCGGGAATCCTAACGCATAAAATGAACCTTAATGACAGGGGACTTACTGAGTACCCAAGTAACCCGCATACCGATTTCATCAACAATTGTATTCATGAATCCTGATTCAAGAAATGTGAAGATTTATTCAAGATTCACCTCAATAAACTTGATGACGCTGTCAAGTTCAGAATACTCCTAAAGAAACTTGGCACTGTAGAACACGGTTACAGTAATTTCATTCTCTCAAATAACCCAGAAGATTTTTCTTTTGATGCAACACTTGATGTCCTGTAGCAAATCTTTGGTGAACAGTCATTTTTGTTTAATATCTATTATCAGTGCCTCAAGATAACAGAAGCCGATGATGATGACTGGGTGAAACATGAAGGTTTAGTAAATCGCGAATGCAAGCGGTTTAAACAATCGGCAATGACAGAAAATCAGTTTAACAGTCTTATGTCTGTGTGCAGTCTTCAATCTCCTGAAGATTCTGATGTCAGAACCAGAATTTTAAGTAAAATGGAACGATATCCAAACATAACGCCACAAAAAGTAACCACAGAATACCAGAGACTGGTAAACTTGAAACATAACACCTCCATGGTTAGAAACAACAAAAGACAACCAGCCTTCATCTCCATGCTGGTCATGTGGAAGTTGGCATTACAAGAAGTTTTGTCCACATAAATGTCACCGTAAAAGCCACAAAGAAACCAGCTGCAGAGAAAGAACCCATCGATATCATCCACGGAAACCCTATTTCAAGAAATACAGACCTCATGCAATAACTAAATACTGGTATTTCATAACCGAGCAGGAATTTACCGCCAAAGAAAATATGTAACTGAGGACGTTAATAAACACTGTATTTGTCTTCAATTCGATACAGCATCTGACATTACTCTTATCAGTGCAGAAACTTGGAAGACCCCCAGTTCGCACAACGACGATACTAGGACACAGTGCCTCCGGTGGAAAGTTAAATATTGTTGAAGTACCCTGGACTGTTTTAAAGGTAATGCAACTACGAATGCAACAGCATACATTACGGAGAATCCAGCCCATAGTTTATTGGGGTTAGATCTGATAGAGACACTAAAATTAGCAGACCATTCATCTAACAACATTTGCATCCGTGTCAGAACTAATAAACACCAGAGGGTAACGAAAAAACTGTGTTACAAAGACATTATAACGTGGTTACAGAAGGATTAATAGAATACGCGAAGCATTAATAACTCATAAATCTGGAGCTACTCTTGCTTATCAAGTAATTATCAGTGTGATACGATGGAAAGAAAAGTCAATTTTCGATTGATTTACTCAATATCAGTCAGTCAGCTACAACGTAGGACCAGGCACGTGTATGCATCGGTTCAAGTTGCCATACCGCATTAGCACAACAAGATGAACACCGGATTCATAGAAGTAGTTAATTCAGTGGTGGTAATATATAGAAGAAAGAGTGTGTATAAGGAGATAGTACAGGAAGATAGAATTAGTTCGTAGAAAGTAAGATTTGAAGTGATTTTAATCTCTTAGTTTAAAGGAAGACAGAGAGTGTATACACCGACGCCATTGTGATCGATTCTGAGCCATGTCACCAAGAGTCTCCAACCATTGGTTACAATAGTCACGCGGACCCCAACCAGGTAGTCTGCATCTACCAACATGGCTCAGACCAGAAGTTAGTGACTTCAAGCACTGATGCCACGTTTTGGTTTGTCCGCCCCTAACTTTCTTCCAATTATCCCCTACACTAGTCAGCATTGCGGGTCGTGGTAATCGGTGTTCAGGCATACGCAGAACGTGGCCTAACCATCTCAGTCGATGAAGATTCATAGCCTCATCAACTGATTTAACATCATTCCCTAATACCCTGCGTCTAACCTCAATGTTACTTACCCGGTGATCCCAGCAGATACCCGCAATATTTCTAAGGCATCTGTGGTCAAATACTAGTAACTTACGAATATCTTCTACTCTTAAAGGCCATGTTTCGCAGCCGTATAGTAGAACGGAACGAACTGCCGCGCAGTATACTCGTCCCTTAATTGATAGACGGATATCTCGCCTTCGCCATAGATGACGTAAGTTGACAAAGGCCAAGCGAGCTTTTCGAATCCAATATGAGTTCTATTCATCATTACTCCCGTTTTGATTCAACGTAATGATTACTCAATGTAGTATTTGTTTTCTTTATCCTGTATAATATACGATATTCTTATATTCCATCGACCTGAACTATGCTCAGTATGTGATTTCTTATAACTCTATTTTTCATATATGTGATTTCATCCTAATAATTAGTCAAAATGGGTGTACAATCAATATACAAACCAGTGTATTTCAGATTATTATTATTATTATCGTCATAGTGCTTTGGGGCTAATAAATCTTCACTTATACCAGTCATGTGTTCGTAGGAATTGCAGAGGTCCCTCGTTCCAAGTATAAATGATCAGCGCTTTTCCGACACAGCAATCAGCGACGACCAAATATAACAGTGTTTCCCGTGAGATACATGTGCACAGGTACTGGAAGGTCTGTCAACAACATTGGAACCGGTCTCAAACGCCAATTCATGTCAACAAGCAGCACATCCACCCAAGAATGTTTCCACAGTCATCAGATAGAGGAGGTAAACAGCTTATCCCCAGGTGGGTTTTGTCATATATATAAGTTAGGTAGGTAGTATAAATCATATACGTAATGAAGTCGCTAGTGTTAGTGTAACCATGTTGGTAAGGATTACAATTGATTTGCAGACAATGCGATGGGTTTCATTCTCTTCTCGAATCGCGACGACATATATTATACCATAGCTAGTGTTGTTATGTAAACGGTATGAGTAGTGGAAGTTTTATGAGATGGAAAGATGGATTGTTTGAGTCATACACGGTAAGTAGCTAATATTTAGTGACATAAACAAATTCCCTGCAGGGTAGTATTAAACAACAAATCATGCATCTCTCACAAGTCAATACTGATCTCGTGGACAACTGAAAATAGTTGAAAATTAACTGAATTAACCATTTATCAGATTCATTTACTATTTCAGAGTAAATGAGCTTTATTCTCTCATCAACAATCTAATTCATGAATCTCAGTTATTTGCTGTTCCTTAGTAAATTCTCTACATAACTTTTTGAATTATGATTAATATTCCGCTGAGCTTCATCTTTTCTTATATGCTTACGTGGAGTGCTGTAACTCGGAATAACGTATACTTGTGCCAGGTTCCATGCTATCTACAACCGATTGGTCGAAAAATCTGGTCATTAAAACAAGCAAACCTACTATAATTTTGTGAGACGTAAATGAAAGAAAATTATTATTATTATTATTATTCAGTTGCTTTTGTACATATATTATTCATTGTTAAAAACAATAAATTTTTGCTTACCATATTGATATCGTGTTTATCAATTTTATTGATTGCGACAACCATAGGAGCTAAAACGTTAATATACATAATATCCATTTAGATCGTTTCATAGAAAATTTCATCATATCTAAAATAATATGCAATTTACAAATTGAATTGATGATCTATTGAATAGTATTTGAAAGCAGAACTTAATCTTGATAGAAGTGAGCTTACAATCTTTCATTAACAGTGGTTAGGGTAAAATGACAGTACCATTATCTCTTACATCCTTGAAGCATGACTCAAACTTATAATGATTAATAATGAATAAATAATTTAAAACTCCACCTGGTGTACTTGAAAGGTTGCTGTCGGTCCCAAACCTATGTAGACAAAGAGGGTTGGACACGGCATTATAAATAGAATTCCTTGAGAAACAACATTTCCAAAAAACGTTAACTGGAAAAATCACTTTGACCGATTAGACTCTATCCTAGGAGTTGAAGAGTCTTCATAGAAAATGGTTGTAACGCCTCAGGCGGTGAGATATCTGTCTATCAATTAAGGGACGGGTATACTGCGCAGCAGTTTGTTCTGTTCGACTTTACGGTTGCAAAACAAGGCCATTAAGAGTAGAAGATACTAGTATTTGATCACAGATGCCTGAACACCGATTACCACGACGCGCAATGCTGACTAGTGTTGGGGATGGTTGGAAGAAATTTTGGGGTCGGCCAAAACAAAACGTGACATCACTGCTTGAAGTCACTAACTTCTCGTCTTACCCATGTTGGTAGATGCACACTACTTGGTTGGAGTCCGCCTGACTATTGTAACCAATGGTTGGAGACTCTGGGTGACATTGGCTCAATCAATCACAATGGCATAGGTGCATACACTCTCTGTCTTCCCTTAAACCGTGAGATTAAAATTACTTCATACCTTTCTTTCTAATAATTAATCCTTTCTTCCTGTATCATATCTTTACATACAATCTTTTCTATATTAATCACTACCATTGAAGTAACTACTATGAATTCGGCGTTCGTCTTGTTGTGCTAATAAGGTATGGTAACGTGGACCGATGCATTTTTGTGCCTGGTCCTATGTTGTAGCTGACCGGCTGTGACGCGTCATGATGAAAACCAATATTCTTGAGAAATCTCGAGGTCGATTCCTCTTCTGACAACCGAAACAACAAATAATATAGATACATGGAATGTTCACAGACAATTGGAGAGACCAAGAGGACCATTAAAATATCTACAGAAATGAGGTGATACAAATCGGCACTGGTCGGAGTAAGTGAAACTCACTGGACAAAAGCTAGCTTCGGGAGAGCTTATGTCCTATTCTAGCTACGATGAGTAAAATGCCCTACAAGCACACAAAGAGTTGCACTAATGCTGTTCAAAGAAGCATGGAAAGTGCCTACAGGATGTGGATCACGTGTCTCCAGGACCACCAAAGCATCCTTCAAAACAAAGAAGGGAGTACAATATATATCAATCAGTGATACGGGCTCATCAATGACAGCGGCAAATATGGTAAGGATCAGTTTTATGAGAGGAAACATTCCATCGTAGAGAACTCCCCTGGAAAAGACCTGAACACCAAAGTCGGGGTGGACGACACGGGGTACGAATACATCACGAGGCGACATTGACCAGGAGTTAATAACGAGAAAGATGAGAGGCTAGTAGACCTACGTGTTTTTAACATGATAATAGGTGGCAACACTTTACCCACAAACGTATAAACAAAGCTACATAGGCTTCACTAAATCACCACAGAAAACCAGATAGGCCACAGCTGCATAAACAAAAAATTTAGAAGGTACATGAAAGAAGCAAAAAATAAAGAGACGAGCTGATACCGCTTCATTTCATCATCTGGTGGTGGTCGGGCTAAAACTGAAGCTAAAGAAACACAGGACAATTGAACAAAGGGCGCATCAAGAGTTTAGCACACCCCTCCTTCGAGATGCTAATTAGCTCAAGAAGCCCAAAATAGCTCTCAACAACAAGTTCTAACCTTTACAAGATCTACTAGAAGAAAGGGGGGACACTTTGGAGAGAAGCTGGGGAAATGCTAAAGAAGCAATAGTTTTAATATGCCATGTTTTGAATTTGAAGAAGCACCAGAAAAAACAGTGGATCACTGTTGATACTCTGAAAAAGATTCAGTAAAGAAAGAACAATAAGAGTAACCAACAACAGCAACGAAATAAAAGTAGGGAAACCCAAAGAACAGGACGAATATACAAAAGCAAACAAACGAGTGAAGAGTATTAGATGTGACAAGCGGAAGTATATGGAAGACCTAGTAATGACAGCAGAAGCTGCAATTGAAGGAAATATGAGGAAATTATATGCCACAAATAAGAAGCTAGAGTGGAGATATGGTAAACCAAAGTAACCAGTCAAGAACGGAGAAGCTAGCTCAATCCCTGAAGTTCAAGATCAACGGAACAGGTGGGTAGAACACTTTGGAGGGCTCTTGAATAGACCAGCCTTACTCAGCCCACCGAACATCGATACCGCACACAGCGACCTTCATATAGATGTTACAACAACAATAATCAAGGAAATTAGATTAGTCAAGTGACAAAACAACAGGACAACATAGCATAACAGCCGAGATATGGAAGTGAGATATAGGGGTAACTGCAAAGATGCTCCGTGTACTTTGATAGAAATTTGGGAGGACGAATAAGAACCAACAGACTAAAAAGAGGAATGCTTCGTCAAGATATTGAAGAAAAGAGATCCTATTGAGTGTAAGTACTACAAAATAATTACAATACTGTCAGTGTCAGGCAACGTTTCCAAGTGTTGCTAATCCGAGCGAAAGATTCAGTAGAGAGACGCCTAACATCGAGACCAAACCGAGACACTGTGGATTATTCTTGATCAACCAATCGAACGGAACTCATCGCTATACGCCAAGTTCCTTGATTATGAGAAAACATTTGACAACGGCGATAGGAAAACCACCTTATTGATTTTTTTTGAAACTATGGAGTACCTCGAAAGACTGTCACCAGCATACGAAAGCTTTAAGAGGGACTGAATTCCAAAATTTCCATAGACGTTGGCCACCAGACAAATTCGAAGTGAGAAAGGCCGATTACTCTTGGATTTTTTTTCTTCTGGTTGTTAACTGGATTATGAAAACCTCCGCATCTCGGAATAAGCCTGGAATACATTGTATACCTTGGACGATTGAATCTTTCAGATGACTTAGCCCTTCTATCCCATACATAGCAACACATGCGCAATAAGATAGCCGGTGTAGCAGTGACTTGCACAAAATTAGGCCTCAACATTCACAAGGGAGAATCATGATAGTGAAATACAATACCGCAAGCACCAACGAGACCACACTTGTTGGTGAAACTCTGGAAAAGGTAGAAGCCCTTAAATACCTGGGTAGGATCATTGATAAACAAGGATGATCTGATGAACATGTGGAGGTCAGTATTAAAAAAACGAGGGTGGCATTCCTACAATTGAAGGACATCTGGAACTACAAAGAACTACGACCTAACACCGAAGTCAGGACTTTCAATACAAGCATTAAAAGTTCTGTTGATTGAAGTTGAAACAGCTGTCTACGCAAGATACTCTAGATCAATTAGCCAGAGTCTATCGATAATAACTCACTTTCGCAAAGAACAATCCAACTTCCGACAGAGGAGGAAATTAGGAACAGACGCCGAAAGTGAATAAAACGGAATTTACGGAAATTACCAAACTACATCATACGGTAAGCCCTAATTCAGAATACTCAAGTCAGAAGAAAAAGAGATAGACCAAATAACACATGGCGTTGGGAATGAGAAGCAGGCATCAAGGCCATGAATAGTAACAAGTGGAAAGGAGAGCTCAGGAAAGTTAGAGATTTCTGGTCTAGAGCTTATAGTCCATGAGGAGTAACAGTATTAAGTAAGTTATTCTGAATTTAATAGGTGAAAAATAATGAAAGATACAATAGAATAAAATTATAAATAATTTTACCCCGTTAACCCAGCCATAATTAGACCGATTTCTTTCAAGATACGAAACAAGTGTACAATACATTTCATGTACACCACGTCCCAACAATACATATTTTTATCCTAAGTTACATAATTTAGCTTGAAGGACATTTGGTTTAATTGAAGAACACTTTCTCCAGTTGTGTTAAATATTAACGAAAATGTCATGTATATCCATATACCATACGTCCGGACTGCCCTCACAATTGATGACATCAAGTGGTGTTTATCGGGCCTTCTCACTTTACTCCATTTTTATTTAGCTTCTTCACAGACATTCTTCTGGAGATAAAGGTTTCAGTATGTGGTTCTTGGGGACTGACCTACTACCAGGAAATTTACTTGTTAATTCAGAATACGCAAATGAGACAGTTGGGTTTAGCGAAAACGCTGCAAAATGAAGTCTGCTGATCGCCTTAAGCAACAATAAGATGTTCAAGATGCATTTCTCTCCCTAAACACAAAATGCAGCTCTAGAATTAGTCGACGTCAACGTCTAAACTAATGGTAGGGAGGTAATTGAGACCATTAACCATATCACTTATTTGGAAAGTCCTATAAACCTTGGTTGGTATCTGACGAAATGTCTACAGAGATTCAGAATGTTCGCCTAGCTTAGGACTACTTGTATCACTGGTGACTTAGGAGAGATACACGTCTGCCAACCAAAGGGTGAATATATTGCGTGGCAGTTTGTTTTGTTTTACTTTGTGGCTGTGAAAAGTGGTCTTTAAAAATAGGCGGCATTTGTGGATTGCTAATGCTTAATTATAGATTTCTTTCAAGCATTGAAAGTACACGTTGGGACCACTGAATCAGGAATGTTGAGGTTAGACACAGGGTTCTAGGTAAACATGACAAATCGGCTGTTGAGGGAGCGAATTTCCGAATAAAGTGGTTAGGACCGATGATTCGCATGCTTAACCAGCGCCCACCTTGACGCACAATGTTGGTTAGTGTGTGAGTAGGTTGGAAAGCTTGGCATCAGTCGATGAACTCACTGATTGATAAAATGAACCATGTTGGCAAATATGGTCTACCTGGTTGGGGTAAGCCTGCTAACAATGGGCAGCACGGCTCAAAATCGAGCACAATGTCGGAAATACACTCACTCTTTGTCTGCTCTTAGATCCTGAGTTTTAGAATTGTCGTTTACTTTTTATCTTGCTAATTCAGTTCTTCTTCTTAAATTATAGTGTGCATGAGTAATCTTTTCTAGAATCGCTAATATTGTTATTGATCCTACTACCCTGGTATTTTTTCTAATAATTTCATTTTGCTGCGCTGATGTAGTGTAGCAACTTGCACTGTTGCATAAATGTACCACGCTCTACGTCGCTTATGGATGACTGACTGCTTGATTGAATTATCATACTTTACAAGAAAAGAGGTATACTAACTCGATGAATTCACGATTTCCCTAACCAGATTCAGGGTCTCCAGACATTTGGCGACTGTTTAAGACTAGTTCTACAGAATATCGAACTCCCTCAGAATGTCGTGTTACAGCCTACTAATACTGTTTCAGACATCAATGAGTCATTTCACAAGTTTGACACTTAAACACTGACCTAATGTCTCAACTTTCATTAAAAAATGAGATATAAAATAGTTACGATAGTTTATTTCAAATAATGGATCACTCCAACACTACTTTCTTCCAAGTTACACGTTCATCGACATGAACTAGCAAAACGATCTGTTCTTTGTAAGCCCAAAACAAACAGATTACGTTTGTACTCTCTGAAACTTGTCATTACTCAATGCGTTTAAGAATAGCCATCCATAAAATAAAACAAACTTATGGAAAAACTCACTGTTTGTTTCTTTTGCGTAACGAATTGCTTCAACGGTTTGAGGTTTAACCCCATCATCAGCAGCGACTACCAGAAGCATAATATCAGTTGCTTTAGCACTTCGAAAACGAATGCCAGAAAATGCTGCATGGCCTGGTGTATCTAGGAAAGTGATGCTTCTAGAAAATGACACGGGATTGGGATCTGTAAATCCAGCATTGCGTTCAACAGATGACAAAGACACTGTAAATGCACCAAGATGTTGAGTTATACCTCCAAATTCTTCGTCAACAACTCTACTGGAGCGTAAAGCATCTAACAGAGTTGTTTTTCCGTGATCCACATGACCCAGGACAGCGACAATAGGGGGGCGTGGTTCACATTTCTCCCGAGGACAAGGTGGTCTAAAATATGCGGAAAAAAAGTTGAGACAGAAAATGATGACCGAACTGAAATAGATAAGATATAAAGGTAGACATAATATGGGTCGATTTTCCTCATGTAAAAATGAAAATCATTAACATAATTGGTTTAACTTGAAACAAAACTGTTAATTAACATTAACTTCGAACTAATACCTAAATATATGTCAGGTAACCAGAATAACACTTTTTGGTTGTAATTTACTTAAAACACAGTTATATGAACAAAGAATATTCTTTGCAATAACTTCTCATCAGGTTCAATAATTATGAATCCAAATTAATAATCCACAAAACTGGCCAGATTTAAGGCATAGTACATCATTTAAAATTGTAACATATGAATTAAGGATTGTTTGTGATATAAAATAAAATAAAAGCGTCAATGTTGGGATGACTAATATGTGTTAACTTGAATCAGTTTGTAAGTGAAATGAAATTGTGAGATAAATGATCAGAACAAATATGGTCAACAAGGGATGAGAGAGAATAACGTAATCACAAATCAGAAATTACGTAATATGTAGAATAATATGAATTAGATAAGAACCTTCGTCTAAATTTGAACGAATAGTTTCACAATATTTGGGCGCCGAGTTAATGTGAGATATTAAAGAGAAAAAATGTATTTGTAAAATCTCAGCTAATGAATTTGAAGTAAATCCAACGTTTCGCCTGGCAATCTGGTCCAAGCTTTTTCAAGGAAAATATAATCAAACAACAAAATTATCGAATATAAATAGGTACATGGTTCTTTGGTTTACTGTATACTGAATAAGACATCCAATCAACGTGAACCCTGTTTAAAGTGGGTATTTACATTAGTGTATGAGACCTGTAGTGTAAAAACGAAAAGCGTAAAGATAACAGATTGTGTGTGTACGTAAGTAATGTGAGAAGAAATTTCATTCAACTATATATTGTCTTCGGTATGTATATATTAAGAAGACATATCATTTTATATGATATGAATCAAAATGTCACAGCATGCATTAAATGAAGATAAATAATCAAGATAAAAGACTGAATTCAAAGAGGAATGTATTTGTAATTGAAAGTTTTGTTATTTTAATGTTCCCGTCAATTGTTTAACATATTCAGATACGATAACTGATTTGAACCGTTGAGTGTATCATCTATTGATTAGTTAATATGATGTAGATAGATAGAGTGGAATAAGGAGTTCAGGTTTACTTATTAATTATTAGTTGCCATGGGACAACTAATTGTATTCCATCTCTCCTATTAATACTGTTTGAATTAGCTCATATATGTAGGGCTTCAGCTGCTAGTCGTTCTTTGTAAGAGTTGAAGCCTTTTTGAATGATTCTTGAGCCATTAAAATCAACTGTATGACTCAATTTAATCGAGTGTAATGCTATTGCTGATTTGTTCTCAAGTTTTCTTACATCATCTGAGGATTTAGGAATGTGCTTTAAGCACACTTTATGTTCCTTCACCCTCACATTCAATTGCCCTGATGTTTCACCTACATACGTTGCGTTACAATCATTACATTTGATTTCATAAACACAATTCTGTTGTTCATCCTTGTGTATTGGATCTTTGATTCTTACTAGTTTTGATCTCAGAATATTGTTTGTTCGAAAGAAAACTCTTATATTTTGAAGAGTTAGAATCCTTCTGATCTCTTCTGAAATACCTTTACGATATGGGATCACCACCATGTTAATCCATTCTTTTTGCATAACTCTTTTTTTAATGATATCATTTTGTTCTTCATTCTCAATTATTCTTTTAATAAAACCCTTCGGATAACTTTTCATCATTAGAGTGGATACAATTAAATTCATTTCCGTTTTTATATCATTTGGTTCAGTGATAAGTTTTTTGACTCTGGTTATCAAATTTTTGGCCACTGTCACTTTGGTAGAGTATGGATGCGCAGACTTAAAATATAGAAATTTTCCTGAATATGTCGGCTTTCGGAAAATACTAATTTTTAAACAATCATTATACTTCCTTTCAACCAAGCAGTCTAGAAAAGGTGATTTCCGTTCAGGGGATTCCAACTCTGGTGAACTTGATTTTGTCATAAATGCTGTTGACACTACAGGTCTCATACACTAATGTAAATACCCACTTTAAACAGGGTTCACGTTGATTGGATGTCTTATTCAGTATACAGTAAACCAAAGAACCATGTACCTATTTATATTCGATAATTTTGTTGTTTGATTATATTTTCCTTGAAAAAGCTTGGACCAGATTGCCAGGCGAAACGTTGGATTTACTTCAAATTCATTAGCTGAGATTTTACAAATACATTTTTCCTCTTTAATATGAATTAGGTCAGATATAGAAGATAGTGTGGATGCTGAATAAACTCCTCAAAAGGATTAGCAACTGTAATCATGTTGGTTGTGTGTCGTGTCTGAATTAAATGGACTAAAATGAAGCTGTTAACCGTTTTAACTGCACATTTTCTTGTTTCTGTTTCTTCTTCATGACCCGTCCTTTCTCCTTGTAAGTAAAACATCTAAAAAGACTATTCTATCCCATTTTCTTTCTCACATGTGAATTTTATGAACGGGTGAACTGTATTGAATTGCTCGAGTGTTTTTATCAAGTCCGTATGTTCGTTACAAAGGATAAACGTATTATCCATATATCGGTAGTAAAATGAAAACTTGTCGATCTGTTGTGCCAGTGAGCCGTTTCCTAGTTTAGGGAGAAAATTGTCGGCCAATATGGGACCTAGAGGTGAACCCATCACGACACTATCTATTTGTCTATAATTTAGTTCATGAATGAATAGTGATTATCGCAAACATGAAAAACTTAATGACCACGATGCGCTTCCCGAGATAAACAAAAATATCACTTCCTAGATATATTTGCAATCATTTAGATACGTTATACGTTGTTCATCATCACCCTTCTAAGTATCTTAACTGCAATACCTCGATGTGTACAAAATGATACACATGAACAAAGAATTAATAATGTAATCCAATAAAGATTCTGTAAGTAAGTAGAAACAAAAGTTGTTTAAATCAGGGAAATTCAGATCTTCAGCATGTGATGGAATCCAGCAAGTGAACAATCACTTACCTAGCTTTGGGCAACACTTTATGTGTGAAGGCTAGTGCAACTACGCACGTGAGCAAACATAATAGGAAAACCAATTTCGAAATTTCTTACCCTTTCCAGTGGCTCAGAAAGTGTAGTGTTTTATTAACCTTATCCTCATTAAAATTTATTTTACAATTGTGGAGATTAAATTACCTTGGATAAGCATCAAGGTCAACTGTTTCATGAGTAATCTGGTGTCTGAACACTGGTGTGAACCCCATTAATTTCACTAGAGTTTCGATGATCGCTTTATCTTCCAACTCTAAAGTTTAACTAACTGTGAGAAGGAAATCATACTTGAATTGGTGTTTGCTTTGTATTTTGTAACAAGGGCTGAGTTTAAGGTTCTAAGAATTATGTGAGGAGATATTTTAGCAGCTGACGACAATTCCTTGACAGTTATTCCCTCCCATACCTCGAGTTTGCTCTTCTTGGATGTCTTAAAACGAATGTTAGTAGTTTAATTTTACTTACGAATGCAAGGGAATGAGATTTTGAACTGTAGCATACTTTGTAAAATGATGGTGGGTAGCACAGTGCCCAGTGAACTTTCCACAACTTGAAAATCATTTGCCGTCTTTTTGGAAGGCTTTACGCGAAGTAATCCCGAGGCTTTTTTGCCCGTATCGACGATGAACAAGTACTTTGTTTCCTAAATATAACATGTACTTTTAGAAACAAAGCGGCAAATAATAAAGCCCATGTAGAAACATACAAAGTTGACGTTTTCGTATTAACTGACTGAGTTTTTTCTATCGATTATAGTACCTAAAAAGGAACGAAAAATAAATTAATTATCAGTATATAGTTGTGGAGATTGTTGAGTTGCATTGAGTTCATGAATCGATTGGTGTTAGACCCCTATTGAAATTCCGGAAGCACTGGATGGCCGTACCGTGTTGATGTATAGCTTAAACCAATCCACGATGCTGCACGACCATCTTCCATTGTCTTCGGCGGGAAACTGCCTCAAACCCGACACTGTTGAACTCCACTCGTCATGGCTTCCCACTAGAACTCCAAGAATTAACTCTCCAAGCTAGTCATTAGTGAGCATATGATGATTATGGGTATAGGGTTGTGGAGATTGTTGAGTTGCATTGAGATCAAATAACCAGGAGAAAACCGTAGGGAAAGTGATATCACTTTGGTAAAAGTAAGACTACGGATCAAATGTACTGCAGCATTCCTGGGAAAGCACAGGAACGAGCCAGGGTATTATGTATTCGGAATATCACTTATTTTCTCCAACATAATAAAATACAAAAACAAAGTTTGCTATTAATTTTTTTTTATTTTTAGGAGGAAAAGGATCGATACATTTTAGAAATACGCGATAAATATTTCGTTGCTTTGAATCACTAAGAAATAAATCTAGGACCACTTGATTTTTTAACAAGCAGTAAAAATGGAAGCTGAAAGAGTATGTCAGATGTCAACTGTTACTTCAAACGATGCAATGTCATTTGTTCTGGTAGAAAGATGACGGAAAATATTCTATCATGAGTATACAAGCATGACCAAAACTGAGGTGCGCATTAGCCTATCACGAGACTTAGGAACAGAATAGTTTCGTTTCATCAAATACAGCTACTTACTTACGTCTGTTACTACTAATGGGACATAGGCCGCCGATCAGCACTCTCCAACCTACTCTGTTCTGGGCCTTCTTTTCTAGCTCCATCCAATTCTTGTTCATTTTTGTCGTGTCTATCTCCATTTCCATTTCCAGCGCTTTTTCCTAATTTCTTCCTCTACTGGGATCTGATTTGTTCTTTCCCAGAGTAGGTTATTGCTAATAGCGTCCGGCCAACGGATCCGAAGTATTTTGCGTAGGCAACTGTTAATAAACACCTGTATCTTCTGGATGATGGCTTAGGTGGTTTTCCAGGTTTCGACCCCATACAGTAGAACTGTCTTAATATTTGTATTGAAAATTCTGACTTTGGTGTTGGTTGCCAATTGTTTTGAGTCCCAGATGTTCTTCAGTTGTAAATATGCTGCTCTTGCTTTGCCGATCCGCGCTTTCACATCTGCATCAGATCCACTGTGCTCATCAACGATGCTGCCCAGGTATGTAAAGGTTTTTACATCTTCCAAATCTTCTCCATCAATTGTGATTGGATTGATGCATGCTGTGTTGTACCGGGAAATCTTGCTTTTCCATTTGTGTATATTGAGACATATTGCTGCTGAGGCTGCTGCTACATTGGTCATCTTCTCCTGCATTTGTTGTTGCGTTTGCGATAGAAGAGCCAGATTATCTGCGAAGTCTAGATCGTCCAACTGCTATTACAAACCTAAAATAGTTAGAAGTCTCCAGCGTTTGACATATGTTGCCTTTAAAGCACTGGTGCGTGCGATAAAGCTAAACGATAAGAATACCAAAGGTTATTTCGAGGACTTAAGTGAATGTATATGGTTACAAACCTTCAGAACGCAGAGCTTCGGACAGTCTGTGTCAAAAGGCACTGCACATTGAGCAAGGTCAGTAAATGGAAAGGATAATGCTATTATCATGTGATGAACAATAGCAAATATTTAGCTGTATAACTGGTCACACCAGGAAAATCGAAAAGGGTAGACTGATCAATTTCACATGCTTGGAAATAACTCAATACAATTTTGAGGATACACTGTCAAGAGGTACTGTAGGGATATGTCAGAGCTTGGTAAATAAAGGAGTGAAATGGAAACTAGAGCCTTGATGATATGATATTATCTATACAGCTGAGATGATGTATGTTGACTTTGCTGTTTGTGGCAGAATACCTTAAAATCCAACATTTGTCCACATAATAATCAATTAGTTTAAGGACATGAAACGTTGGAAATCCCATAGTACAGAGTTTTAAGTTACTTCGTTACACAGTCGGTGTGCCACAAATCTCCCTATCACACAAAAATTATGCTGGATTTGAAGTACCCACTGTAAAGAGGTTTAGTCTTGAATCAGAAGAAAAGTGTAATTGAGCTGATTCCTGGTAAAAGTCGGGTTATTGCCTTTGAAATCACAAAAATTGTTGAATCACTTTTTTTATATTGTATAGGATGTATGCTCATCCCTTAGTTGATAGACGGATATCTCGCCTTTGCCATAGGTGACGTAAGTTGGCAAAAGCCAAACGAGCTTTTCGAATCTGTGCAGAGATTTTGTCAGATACCAACCCATCAGGGCTGATCAGACTTCCAAGATAAGTGAAGTTGTCGACGCGTTCGACCACTTCACTCTCTATCCTTGGTTCAGGTGTTGACGCGGGTCAGTCCTGAAGCAAAAACTTGCATTTGGAGGGGAGAAGCGCATCCCAGACATCCTGGCATTGTTGCTCAGTGCTACCAGGAGACTATGAACTTTATCAGTGTCTTCACCAGACAGGACTATGTCATCTGCGTATTCTAAGTCAATAAGTGGACCTCCTGGGAGGAGATCAATGCTCGAGAATTCAGTCGACGAGAACGTTATTTTCATCAGGAGGTCTATGATAAAGTTAAACAAAAATGAATAAAGTGGACAGCCTTGACGGACACCACTTGAGGTTGCAAAATCAAATGACAGTTCGCCATAAACTCTCACTCGACTAGTAGTGTTCGAGTAAAGAGCCTTCACAAGGTTTATATACTTCCGAGGTACGCCTTTCAATGACAGACACTGCCACAGAACCTCTCAGTCTACAGAGTCAAACGCTGCTTTTAGGTCAAGAAAGACCACCATTGTCGGACGCCGATAAGTATGCCTGTGTTTTAGAACCTGACGAATGGTGAATATGTGGTCAATGCAGCCACAGTCAGGTCTGAAGCCATCCTGATATTCACGTGTTTGCATTTTACGAGTCTTAGGCTCCCGATAATTATTGAGGCTAGTATTTTAGATGCTATATTAGTCAAACTAATCCCTCTATGGTTGTCACATAGTGATTTTGACCCCTTCTTATATATCGGGTCAATAAGCGATTGCGACCAGTCAGATGGGATTACAATCTGTTCCCAGATTTTAGATAAAATATTAGTCAACCTAATCGCTAAAATTGGACCACTAACCTTCAAGACCTCTGGAGCAAATCCATCTGGACCGACTGCTCGTCTTCGTTTCAGATTGATAGTAGCCTTTCAAACTTCAGCTAGAGTTGGGTGACCTACTTCAATGTTCCATTCACGCTGTCTGGGAATGGTGGGTAGTTATAGGGGAGCTGAAGTTCAGCTGAACTGCTCCTTAAAGTGTTCCACCCATCGTTCTAAACGTCTGAACTGCGAGTAGATAAGAGTGTCGTCTTTTTCCGAGATAGTCTCACTTACACTTGACTTTTCAGTTTCAGTTTCTTTTATGAGTCTGAAGAGCTGTCTGGTGTTACCTACAGCCGCCGCCTTTTCCATCTCTTTTGCTTCCGATGCCCACCACTGTTCACGGTCGTTTCTTAGACTTTTGCTTAACCTAGATCTGATTTGTTGGAACTGAGCTTACGTATTTTAGAGGGTACTCAGTGATGTTTAAGATACTACAGATCATTAAAATGTCACCTGAGTCCCCTAAACATTAATGGATAAAAATCCAATAATTTAAAACGTTCTTCATAAGATTTGGAATCAAGTCCCCGAACTAATGTCGTGGATTTCCTTAGGATATGTTCCAGAGTATTCTTCATATTTTGAAGTGAAGGAGAAAACACCATATTTTCGCACTCTAAATAGGGTCGAATAAAACTAATAAATTTACGTAGAAAGTTATGTCATCTGGCCGAAAATGTGCTTCATGTTTGTCGGTGAACGGTTTGCTCTAAATACATTATGTGTAAGATTATAAGGTATTACATGGAGAGATTCGAACTTTGGGCTATGACCAAGGGAGATGTTGAGGATGTTTATGTTGTGGCTCATTTTTTTAGATTCGTTGGAAAAGAAGCAACGCTGATCCAGAAGCTTTAAATTATCAACCTAGTTGCAAACTCCTCTCTGAAGTTTAACATCATCAGGAAAAAGCCGTAACTCAAGAGATACATAGAGAGGAAGGCTATCTATGTAGATTAAGAAGCATAGACTTAATGCTGAACCATGGAACAACTTTACTAAAACATTCTGTAGACTGAGAAGTTTACCCTGAATTTAAACAGTTGATTATTTGGATATGGATCAAACCAGTCTATTGATAGTGACTTGATGCCAATAAGCTTAGGCTTACTGGTGATACATGTACGATTGATCGTATTAAAAGCTTTCAAGAAACCAAGATATCAAATGAACCTTTCTCCATCGATCAAGAACGAGGTAACATTTGACTCAGTCTATTCAAGCGCACCTGACAACCTGACACATATAAACATCACTTCAAGAAAGACTCTACTTGTTTAAGAGTTACTGGCATTGTAATTGGTACACCTCGTCGCCAGTGTTAAGTCAGCTACTTGATTACGCAGAATACAGTATACAACTATCGGAAGTCGAACGTGTAAAACCCCTATAGTCACAAATCAAAAGACGGAGGAAGCAGCAAAAATGGATATTGCATAAAAATCAAAAATGTATGAAAAACATGAGTGTTTATACTTATTGATATTGGCTATAACATCATCATGTTTCTGCCAATCCCCAAGGAAGCAATTTATGTGACTGTCTAATCGTAGCATG